GGAGGTCATCCGAGTTAGCTAAGCGAAGGGAGGGATGGGGTCGCAGGAGAGTGGAGTACGAGTAAATCAGAGAAGTAGGGAGAGGTCTTTCATAGCTACTGGGATACAATTTAACAGGACTTCTTTTTGCTTAGGAGTGGTATTTAATGACGTGTACGCTGCCTCCAAATTTGCCATCGAGGGATTCTGTGAGAGCCTTGCGGTTCAACTTCTGAAATTCAATATCTAGTAAGTTTTGACTTTTTGATACACAGATTTTAGCTGGTGGGTAAACTCCAGCAGTTACTTGGTTAAGGTACCCTCCCTACCAATGGACTCTCTAAGGTCCCCAGGCCTTGGCCATCCCCACCCTGCCTAATACTCTCCAGAATTGGGGGTCAGCTCATTCAGAGGCACTCTTGCCTCTGGGCAAGATGCATCCCTCCCGGGTCCAAGAGAGAGAGGGGGGGAGAGAGAATGTGCATTTCATTTCAAGACACAGAGATTTCTGTGTGCAGGTGACTTACCGACTTGGGTTTAGAGACCCCTAAACACAGCGAAGTGTTTCCCCGTGTCAGACCCTCAGCTGCCCCAATAACTAACCGAATGAAACAACATAGGTACGACTTGACCAGATTAATTTTGATTTTATTTGAATTGATTTAGCGTGTCAATGATTGAACCAGGTCCGGTCAACACAGAATTCGAGATGAAGATGATGGAGGAGGTGTCTCAATCAGAGTTCCCGGGAGTAGACCCAGTGACTGTCCAGTATTTTAAGGACGTCTATCTTCCTGCTTCCCACGACATCTTTATGACAATGGGTCAGACTCCGGACGCTATTGCACAGGTATTCAGCAAACTCACAATCCGGGCTCATTAACCAGCACAGTGCTGGGGGGGTATTGCGGGATATATTGTGAGATGATGAGATGTTAAGACCGAGGTCCCCCCACCCCCCACACCCCCAGGATAAAACCGGTCATTCACTTCATGGCTGTTTGCAAGGACGTGGCTGTTGTGTTTGCCGACAAGACACACAGTCACTACAATTTACAATGGAAATCCCGAGGAAGCGCTTGCTTTGAGGCGTCTTCCCGTTGTGATAAGGAGCTCTATCGAACACAAGGATTATTATTATTATTATAAATAACTAAATGTCAAAGAAACACAGATGTTGGGATTTGCAACAAAAAAACAGGATCGAATCTGTGAGGTCTGAAGCATCTTTGATCGTTGAAAACATCGGACATCTGCTAACAACGTAGAAAACAACTATTTAGGTTATTAACTATATTCCGTGGTTATTCTAAAGTACTTCCTTTTTCCCAGGCAACTATGAAAGTGATCAGCATGGAGAGGCCAGTTTTTCGTTACCAAACGAATGTACTCTACACACCTCTGACAGCAATGAAATATGCGGACAACACAGGAAACCTGTCCGTGCGTACGTTTTATAGTTTGCTCTTTAACCACGGGACCATGTTCAAAATTAGTTTCACTCTCCTCAGGATCATAACTTGCAATTGCTTTCGAAGCGGTGAGATTTCACCGCACTGACCGATAAGGTTCAACAGCCAAAATCAACCACAACGGCAACAGAGTCGTTTCCCCCACAAAATATACAGTCACTACACTCCACAGTATATTCTGTGTGTGGCACTTTTGAGACAAGATAAGACGCTACATCAAATGCGAGCAATATTATTATCAACAGCATCCGCAACATCATCATGACGAACCTTTGGGCCCCCCCACTCTGCTCTCTGGAACTCCATCCTGGAGTCCACCAACTCCCCTCCACTCCCTCCCTCCCCTCCCCTCCCATCCCTCCCTCCCCTCCCCTCCCTCCCTCCTTTCAAATTACGCCACAAGACTTACCTCTTTGACTGTGCTTTTGGTCGGGAGAGAGAAACTCCCTTCTCTTGTCGCGTCGCATCGCTGGGGGGGCAGTGGGTAGGGGGGGAATCCTTAACCTCTACCTGAAACAGGTCATGAATGGGGAAGAGTTCAATGAGGCCAAACTGTTCTTCTCCCGGTTCCCCCTTCGTGGTCAGATTGGGTCGTTATGTTTGCTGTGCTATCCTAATAAATATGGTCCTGTCTGTAACTTGACCTCTCCGGCGTTCACAGTACTTGGCAAGCCTTCCGACCCTCATCACAAGACCTACCTCTCTGTGACCGCTCTTTCGGTCATCTTTCCTCTCTCCCCCCAAACCCCCTCGAGCTCTCACGGAGTCTGTGTATTTTGTAGGTGAACGCACAGCGCTATTCCCTCTCCTTTGTGGAGTCCTGAGGCTCAGTGGTTAAAGCAATCGCTTTGCGAGTGAGAGACCTGAGTTCAATCCCGGGAGCTCAGGGCCAAATCTTGGGCAAGTTTCCTTACTCCACACAGAGCCTAATAATAATCCTCCAAAACCAAAAACAATAATAAATTGGTCATTTTCAATCTACGACTGTTTGTGGGACATTGCTGTGCGCAATTGGCTGCCGCGTTCCCCCACAAATATACAGTCAATTCAGTTTACAGGGTGTTCTGTGAAGCGCTTTGGGACGTCCTCCCGACGTGAACAGCGCTATATCAAATGCAAGGATTATTATTATTATTATTATATTATTAGTAGTGTTTTCAGATGAGCAATCTGTGTGGTTTTAGCTGATTACACTCCGGCAGTAATTCCCCCCACTCCCCTCCCCTCCCCATGCAGACGCTCATGTTTATTATTATTATATTATATATATTATATTAATTATATATTATATCATTATAATCATTAATCGGTTTAGATTAATTCATTCACACGATGCAATAATGCATTAAAATAAATTTTTAGAAAAAAAACAAATCGGAAGACATTAAATTAAAAGGAAACTTTAAGCGAAAAGTCAGTAGTCAAAGTAAATAAAATCAAATAAAGAAATAAAATTACATCAAACAAAATATAACAAAATCAAACAAATTGACGTAAATTAAAATTGAATTACAACATAATAAATAATAAAATAAAACATAATAAAATTGCATAAAATTAATGATATAATTAAAATTAAACTGCAGAGAACATAAAATATAAAATAAAATAAAAGGACATAAAGTACAGTAAAAATGACATAAAATTAAATGAAATAAAATTCATTAAAAACGTAAAAAATAACAAAATAATCAAATGTAATAAATAAAATGAACCGATAATGACGGTTACCCCCAACTGCAGACCCCCCATCACCCCTCCCCCCGGGGCCCGGACCCCCCTCAGCCCCCGGACCCCCCCTCACCCCCGGGGCACGGACCCCCCCTCACCCCCGGGGCCCGGACCCCCCTCCCCCCGCGGACCCCCCTCACCCCCCGGGGCACCCCCTCACCCCCCCTCCCCCGGGGCCCGGACCCCCCTCACCCCCCGGGGCCCAGACCCCCTCAGCCCCCGGACCCCCCTCCCCCCTCGGACCCCCCTCACCCCCTCCGGTTCCCGCGGCTCTGACCGCTGTAGAGCTCTCGGCGCCGCCACAGTCCCCGCACTCCCGGAGCGTTCCTTCGGCGCGTGTGGGTGTGTGTGACTGTGTGGGTGTGACTGTGTGGGGGTGTGTGGGGGTGTGTGTGACTGTGACTGTGTGGGTGTGTGTGACTGTGACTGTGTGGGTGTGTGACTGTGTGACTGTGTGGGTGTGTGACTGTGTGGGTGTGTGACTGTGTGAATGTGTGTGTGTGGGGGTGTGTGGGGGTGTGTATGTGTGGGGGGGTGTGTGACTGTGTGTGGGGGTGTGTGTGACTGTGTGTGGGGGTGTGTGTGACTGTGTGTGGGGGTGTGTGTGACTGTGTGTGGGGGTGTGTGTGACTGTGTGTGGGGGTGTGTGTGGGGCTGTGTGTCTGTGTGTGGGGGTGTGTGTGGGGTTGTGTGTGACTGTGTGTGGGGGTGTGTGTGACTGTGTGTGGGGGTGTGTGTGACTGTGTGTGGGGGTGTGTGTGGGGGTGTGTGTGACTGTATGTGGGGGTGTGTGACTGTGTGTGGGGGTGTGTGTGGGGGTGTGTGTGGGGGTGTGTGTGACTGTGTGTGGGGGTGTGTGTGACTGTATGTGGGGGTGTGTGATTGTGTGTGGGGGAGTGTGTGACTGTGTGTGGGGTGTGTGTGACTGTGTGTCAGGGTGGGTGTGTGACTGTGTGTGGGTGTGTGTGTGACTGTGTGTGTGACTGTGTGTGACTGTGTGTGGGGGTGTGTGTGTGGGGGTGTGTGACTGTGTGTGTGGGTGTGTGTGACTGTGAGTAAGGGTGTGTGACTGTGTGTGGGGGTGTGTGTGACTGTGTGTGGGGGTGTGTGTGACTGTGTGTGGGGGGGGGTGTGTGCGTGGGTGTGTGTGTGTGTGGGGGGGGGTGTGTGTGACTGTGTGTGGGCAAGTGTGTGACTGTGTGGGTGAGTGTGTGACTGTGTGTGGGCGAGTATGTGACTGTGTGTGGGCGAGTGTGTGACTGTGTGTGACTGTGTGTGGGGGTGTGTGACTGTGTGTGGGGGTGTGTGACTGTGTGTGGGGGTGTGTGTGACTGTGTGTGGGGGTGTGTGACTGTGTGTGGGGGTGTGTGTGACTGTGTGTGGGGGTGTCTGTGACTGTGTGTGGGGGGTGTCCCTCAGTCCCGGTCCTGTGGGTGTCGCGGGTAAGAAAACAGCCGTCTCAGATCAGCAAAGGTTTGCATTTTACTGATCATTTTTACAAACTCAAACGCATGGCTTCCCGTCATATATATACACACACACACACGTGTATACACACACACACACACAGGTATACATATATACACACACATGTATATACACACACACGTGTATATATATATATACACAGTATATTTTAAAAAAAGGCTCAAATGGCAAAGATTTGGAAGTTTGAATCCAGTGACCAGTCGGGGGGTGGCACCCAAACCAGTACAAGGGGAGAAGAGCGAGAGAGAGGGACGGGGGTGGGGGGTGAGGGGTGGGGTGAGGGGGGTGGGGTCAGGGGGTGATGGGGTGGGGTGGGGGGGTGATGGGGTGGGAAGGTCTTCAAGAGCGAGCTGAAAATGGAGAGGGGGGGGCGCAAGGCGGAGTGACTGAGGGAGAGAGTTCCACAGCTTTGGGGTGCAGTGGCTGGATTCTGGGAAAGGTTTTTACTTCATTCACACTCACACACACTCACTCACACACAGAGAAACAGAATACGGTGGCTTAATCAAGAGGTATCCCGCAGTTTGTCTCTCCCATTGCTCGTTTTCTTCAATTTGGTCACATTTTCCAGCAAACCCGACTCAGTCAATCTATTTGAGAAAATGCACTTTGTAAGTTAATAGTCCACGGTGTATGTAGTTCTCTCTCTCTCTTCCTCCTCGACCCCAACCCCATAACCACCACACCATCTGTTCAGATGGACGTTGGAGACAGTGTATCCTGTGAAGCGCTTTGAGACGTCCTTCACGTGTGAAAAGCAGCACATCGAATACGAGAATTATAACAATTGCAAAACACAAAGAAAGATAACTCCCCACCCCCATCCCGCACCCTCCAAAAAAGGGAAAGCTGCAAAGCTCCGAATTACTTAAGCCATGAAATGACCTCCGTTGCATTATTCTGATGGATTAAAAATTGTTACTTACACCTCATCCATTGCAGTATCTTCCTCGTCTAGTGGCAGCTGCAGGTCAGGGTTATTGCAGGCCGGTCGGAACTTGTAGCCGGTTAAGATAAAGAACACCAGTGTGGACACCTCTACAAGCAGCTGAGGGGGTTCACAAAAACAGTTGCTGATCACAGAGCAGTCTGACACTGCAACCAACTAAACAGTCACTACATTTTACAGTTTGTTCTGTGAAGGCTACACTGCTGTGTTTTGTATCTGTGTCACGTCATGTCAGACTTACACTGTACAGCCATTGCCACTCGAATGGGACGGTGAATTTGAGGAGAATGGCGATGATCCTGGTGAAGCAGATGTAACAAACAATCTGCAGAAAAGTGAGAAAAACCGTGAAGATAATTTTCCATCATTACCTTATGTTCGACGCGGCGCCTTTCAGGTCCACAGTGGGTCACGGGATACAGTGTGAAGTTCAATGACTATGTGTATGTCTTGTGGATGAACCAACACTGAATAACACAGATCTGCAGACAGACGAACAGACGGACTCCCACATCTTTGCTTGAAGCAGATGGTCAGGGAGAGCTCTCAAACTGCCCCCTACTATCGGACAGCCTTAACTCATAGTATGGTTACTCTGGGCTGCTCCTTGTCTGCCTGCCCTGTCTGACTCACCATTGGCAATATGTAAATGCCATTTGTTGTTGTTCCGAGTACCCAGCGCTCTGGGACGCTACCTCGCATGAGGGGTCCTATATATAAGCACATTGTTGTTGTCACTGCCAGTGCAGGTACCTACCATAACATAAAAATGTCTGAAGAGTTTCAGCTTGGCCAGGCTCATAGCAGCTGCCGATCGACGTCAGATGCAGGAGAGAAACGAACAGTTAGTGAAGAGAAATGAGAGATCAGACCTTCTTCAGCCACAACACAATCTTCAACAGCTTCTATATCTCGATTAGAACAGGGGAGAGCGACACACACAGACACACACACACACACTGCCTTACAAGACAATTTTCCAGGCACCTAATTCAAGGAGTCAACATGGAGAACATCAGAACACCAGGTAACAGCATAAAAAGGGCGAAATGACACTGATATGAGACCGTCTAGTATTTACTGAAGGCAGTAAATGGAGCTCTCAAGCTACCGAGTGCAGGACTTCCCAGGGACAGGATTAACCTGCAGGTCACTGACATTTACCATCCGTACTGGACGCCTCTTGCAAGTGTCTGATCGACCTGAAAAGCAGAAAGCGATGTAGGGAATGAAACTGGGACGTGGACCAATAGCTCGTTTGTCTTTTCAGCCAAGTCTGGAGCAGGTCCCAAAAGCGCTTCACAAGATGTGTCTTTCCTCTCTCCTGCACAAAACTCTGTGACCCGACAGACCCCCGTCCCCAGAGGATTGAGTATCGCCCTAAAAAGAAAATCCAAGACCACCCCTCGCTGTACTCTCTCTCTTTAGCCTTTGATTAAGATTCTTACCACACGACAGGAAACAGGATGGCCCCACAGCAGATCAGGTCCACCAGAAACAAGGTTTCCTTCCACAAGGCGTAATCACTGGTCCCTTCCTCTGTTGAATCGATGATTATATAAGCTGTATTCGCCAATACCTTGAAGCAGAGACGCAACAAAATGTCTACAAAATGCGCAAAGTCTCTGTTAAACTCTGAAACGCTTCGAGACATTACCCGCCCGTGTGAAAGGCGCTGTATCCAATGGAAGGATTCTTTATTGTTTGTTACAGTCACATGTGCAGAATCACACAACGTTCACACATCCCCGACACCCCCATGCACACACAACCAGACCTGCAAGCACTCACACACACACCCGCACACACTCATACCCACACATACCCGCACCCGCACACCCATACCCCACACACAGACACCTATACCCGCGCGCACTCACACACACACACCACTGACCTGGAGAGGAATGACTATCATGAAGATCTTCTTGTCCTTGTCTGACAGAATGTACTTGACGAATGCCCAGCCAATGCCGATTAGAGCCAAAGTGATGAAGAGCAGAGCGCCTTTCAACCTTCACAACAAGGAAAACACTGTCAAAAACCACAGACCAGCAGCTTGCATTTACACAGCAGCCCTCGCTCATGCAGGGTAGTGCCAATCCACTTTACAGTGTATTCTGTGGAGCGCTTTGAGACATCTCAACAACATGATAAGGCGCAGCATCAAATGCAAGGATTATTATAATATGATAATTTCTAGAACTCTGTAATCAATATACTCACAGATGAGTGATGTAGTACATCACAGCCCAGCCTTCAATGGCATACCCTCGAACAGCAATGAAATGGTAGTTTATCTGTAAGGGAGACAAATCTATGTACATTAGCCTGGCTGGAATCAGCCGTGTAATAGAAGCTCAACCTGTCTTGAGTGATCCCTGTTGATTATAAAACCGTCACGCTCTTGCATATGATAATCTAATCCCAAAACTCCGCTGCCTGCATACTCACCCGTGGTAAACTCCATCCCCCATCACCCCAGGCCTCGCCAGTCTCCACTGGCTCCATATCACACACACTAAACTCCGTCCCCCCATCACCCCAGTCCTAGCTGGGGAAAGAAGGAAAGATGTGGAGTGCGAGTCAAAATGGTTTCCACTCCTATAGCAAACTCTATCATTATTATACTCACAGCGTGGAACAGGATGGAAACAGTCTTGGTGAACGCAAGTGAAGCCATCAGCCAGCGGATTTTAAAGACACTGAACCTGAGTGTGGGGACAGAGAGGCAGACACACAGAATGGGGTTTTAACAGTCTGGGAGCAGTTTTTGTCAAGTAAAATCCAAAAAAAACAGTCATTTCACTTTACAGTGTGTCCTGGGAAGCACTTTGAGACGTGGTAAGGCTCTATATCAAATGCGAGGATCATTAGTAGTATTAGTAGTAGTATCTGGACGGACACAACAACAACAACAACAAGATTCCATTTATAAAGCGCCTTTCACGTCAGGAGGACGTCCCAAGGCACTGCACAGTTGGGTCATGACCCGAGCAGGGGGGAAATGGTCAGGGTGAGGGGAGGGAAGGGAGGGAGCGAGGAGGGGGGAACTGGTCAGTGTAACGGGAGGGAAGGGAGGGGGAAGAGAGTCGAGAGGGGAGCTGAAGGCTCGGTGAAAGAGAAAGGTTTTGAGACCGGCCTTGAAGGAGGAAAGGGAGGAAGCAAGGCGAAGGCACTGGGGGATAGAGTTCCAGAGCCTGGGGGCTGAGAGGCTAAAGGCCCGCCCACCGATGGTAGGGCGATTGGGGCGGGGGACGTGGAGCAGACCGGAGCCAGAGGAACGGAGGGTACGGGCAGGTAGGTAGGGGGATAGTAGGTTGGAGAGGTAGGAGGGAGCAAGGCCGTGAATGGCCTTGTAGGTGAGGATGAGGATCTTGAAATCAATCCTCTGGGGGATGGGGAGCCAGTGGAGGCGAGCGAGGTTGGGAGTGATGTGGTCCCGAAGCCTGGTGCGGGACATTACACGAGCTGCAGAGTTCTGAATGACCTGCAGCTTGTGGAGGGAGGTGGCGGGAAGGCCGGCGAGGAGAGAGTTCCCATAGTCCAGCCTTGAGGTGATAAAGGCGTGGACCAGAGTTTCAGCAGCGTGAGGGGTGAGGTAATGCCGTAGTCTGGCGATGTTCCGGAGTCAATCAAAGTCAATTAAAGTCGGGTAAGGAAAGGAGTTGTGGAAAGGCTTGCTGTACCTGTACTTCAGGAGCAAGTAAACCCAGTGTACAGCCGCAGTGAAGAAGAAGCCAGACATGACCATGTACAACAGAGGCAGCGGCATTTCCCGGCTGACAGGAAATTCTTAGGATTCCTCGCTCTTATATCAATCTAGGGAAAAGGAAGATTTAGAAAGTCACGGCCTCTGCTGGAAACGCTCAATGCAAAATACTAAATACCAAATGACATTTGTATTAGGTGCTTTTCACATCGGGACAACATCTGAAGGCGCTAGACAGTCAGGGGTTTGGAACCAAGGGCGACTCAAATGGTTTTGACTGGGACGCTACCCTTGGTGAGGGGGCGCTGCATAAATACAGCAAGTTGTTGTTGTTGCTGATCTCCCCGGGATGTCGTCGCTGGTCGCAAACCGGCTGACGTGTTTGCCCGCCCACAAAACTCACAGTCTTTCCACTTCACAGTGAAATCCTGTGAAGCGCTTTGAGACGTCTCGAAGATGTGATAAGGTGCATATATCAAATGCAAGGATCATTATTATTATAGTTATAAATACAGCTCAGGTCCAGCGGGTTAGAGCATGTGGGGGGACGGGGGCCGAGAGATCGTTTCGGGGCCCGAGGAGCTGGGAGAAAGTTTGGAAACCCCCCTGGTTTAGAAGGATCAGTTAGAGGAAGGTTCATTGACTCACCTTCATATCGAACACCACCGCACCTTGCTTTCCCGGGGCTGCGTTGCAGCAGTTGTGAAAGCTCAGGGTATACAGGCCTTGCTCCTTCGTGGACATCACCTTCACAAAGAACTGCAATAACAACATCACAAAACAATAATATAATAAAAATCCTGACCTTTGATTCAGCGCCTGATCAAGCTGTAGGACACACTGTAAAGTGAATTGACTCTATATTTTGTGGGTGAAACGTGTCAGCCAATTGTGCACAGCAGTGTCCCCGCAAATAGTCATGGATTGAGTGACCACATTATTATTGTTGTTGAAGGGATTATTACCTCCGGGAAAGCGAATCTCCAATCAACTGACAACTGGGTTCCTGCTTACTGCTGGGTCAACAGAGGCATGTGCGTGTGTGAGTGTGTATCTGTGGAGTAAGAAAACTTGCCTCAGGTTTTGCCCCGACCCGAAATCCTCGCTTGCGAGGTGAGCTCTCTAACCACAGGGCTCCACACATTACACCACAAAAAGACTTGTGGCTTCCCCTTTTTTAAAAAAAAACATAAAACCGCTGTATCAAATTGCGAGGATTATTATTATTTGGCACTTCTCACTCTCCCACACCTCAAAAATGGGACAATGTTCAAAAAGTCAAAATTCAGGTTTTGCAATTAAAAAAAGCGCTTAGTGTCAATTGTCCACCAGGATGGATGGATGGAAGATGAAATTCTTACGTTAAAGTTGTAGGAATCGTTCATTTTCCCGAGTGGATAAAAGGTTTCCATCTTCGTGTCTTCAGTCTTCTTGCCCTTTTGTTGCGAGACAGAGAGAGGGAGAAAGAAGGTAAGCAAGAGGTACGTGGAGGTTTCCCCCTGACCTGCCCGGGAATCAAAACCAGGTCCTCTCGCTTACGAGGCATGTGCCGCAGGATTTCAATCAGGCCTGTTTTGACTTCCAGCCGTATGTACTAGTTGGGCCCCAGCGTCTGGCTGATAAGCACGGCACGGGTATGGGGCTGGGAGCTGGAGAGGTAAAGGGGAGTCTGGAGAAGATGAATGTGAAGAGGTAGTTCCCCCGTTTTTTTTTACACAAAATAAACCTTTCCTTTGAATTGTTCAAACCCATTGGTGCAAGTGTTGTTTTCTGGGCGCGTAGGAATAGGAGGAGGCCATTCAGCCCCTCGAGCCTGTTCTGCCGTTCTATAAGATCATGGCTGATCTGTACCTCAACTCCAATTATCTCGTTATCACGACCCACACCTTCCCACCTCCCTCAGTAACTTGCGCGGTCACACATCCCAACCTGTTTGGCTTTGACCTGGTCGTTGCTCCCGATTTGTTTCTTCACTGTGTTGCTCTGGCTGTCAGTCTTGTTGCTCTCGATCGAACTTTGCTCCCGTTTCCTTCTGCTTTTCTCTGACAAGTGTTTAAAGGTCAGTTAGCGTCGGGATCAGATACAGCTCGGGGGGCCCTGCAACTTTGGACGAGCTACGCGAGGTATCACCATTGATGTTTTACATTTACAGAACAAAAGGAGGCCATTCGGCCCACAACTGTTTGTAGGTCACTGTGCGCAATTGGCTGCTGCGTCACTCCACTTTACAATATATTCTGCGGAGCGCTTTGAGATGTCTCAATGACGTGATAAGGAAACTTGCCTAACGTTCTGCAGACCCGTCCGAGAACGGAACCCGGGTCCTCTCGCTTGCTCTAACCACTGAACTACAGGGACTCAACATTAAATGTTGTTAAATTGATGTTAAATGTTAACTGGAGTTTTGGACGGATTACCGGCAGTACCATTTTGGGATTTCGCGGGCAGTTTATTCTTCTGTTTATCGGCACCGATCATCGGTTTGGCCGACACTGTCTGGGACGGCACATCACGCACCTTGTCTGTGCCATCGATCAGCAGCTGCCTTTGCTCGCCAAACTTCTTCACGGAGACTCTGCCGGCACAAGGGTTGTACATCTGTCTCCAACACCATGTGGGTGATCCTAGCTGGACAAGCAGCGGAAAAGATTGCCAGAAAGCGCTCTCTCTCAATGGCTAGTTAGACTCCAACAGTTAACCCAACGCACACTTTGGGCTCCCCCAAGCATACTAATCGCCGGTGATTGGGGCGCGGGGGGGGGAGGGAGGGAGGGAAGCAGGGTCTCCTTGGGGCTGAACTGGCTCCGAGGTGACATGCTTGGCCACGGAAAGTGGGAATCGACCCAGGCCTCTGTGATGGTCTCTAGTCCAGCTCCTGAGCCAGGCAGATCCACAGTGTTCCAGGGCACTCACTGGTCCCCATCGACAGCCCCTGGAAGGGCTGACCAGTCACTGGGGGCAGGGAATTCTCCCCCTCAGCTCCTGTTAACCCTGCAGCCAAAGCTCCTAACTAGCGGGTAGGGTGGTCCTAGCACTCTCTCTCTCTCTCTCTCTGGCTCTCTCAATGGCCAAGCTATGTGGATTTAGCTGGCTAGACTCCAGCAGTTACCCCAATGCACATTCTGGGCTCCCCCCACCCCCCTCCCAAACTTTGGCTCTTCGCAACCTGCGTCTAACACTCTCCAGAATTAGGTAAACAGGGGGCGTCCCTCCAGGGAAAGAGAGAGAGCGCATTCTATTCCGACAACCTATCTCCACGAGTATGAAGTTCAGTACCAGCCGAGCTCAGGACTTACTGATTCGTATTCATATCAAACTTGAAGAGAGTGAGAGTTTCCCTTGTGGATTTATTGTACTTTTCCAGGACACACGTGTCCGATTCATCTACCTGTGGCTGGAAAGCGCTATCCTCGGATAACGTCAACGCAACACAATAGACATTTACGCAGCGCATTTAGCAATGGAAGGATGTCTCGAAGGACTTCAAGGGGCTGGAAATGGTGGTCGGAGCAAACCACAACAACTTGCATTTACACCGCACCCCTCACACACGCTCAGGCTGACAATCCAGAGGAAACAGGTGTTGAGGAGCCGCCGCTGCTGCTGCCGTCTCCCGCCGGCGGCCATCATGTCACCGGGGGAGCGAGTGACAGCGAGTGACATCACTATCCACCAATCACCTGCCGCCACCGCTTTGACAGACGTCGGCCTCCACCAACCGGCGGTGAGTAGGCGGGTCCTACCCCGTCGGTTGACCAATCGCCACTCCCGGCACAGCCTGGCTGGCAGGCGGCCTCCTCCACCAATCGGCTGCGAGCTCTCACAACGTAACATGACACAGCAGGCGGGACCAAGGGGCAGTCTCGTCTCGTCATTGGTACGGGAGACCCCGCCTCCGCACTGTCACCACGCCCCGCCCCCGCTGTCACCACGCCCCGCCTCCGCTGTCACCACGCCCCGCCCCCCGCTGTCACCACGTCCCGCCCCCCGCTGTCCCCACGCCCCCCCCCGCTGTCCCCACGCCACGCCCCCCGCTGTCCCCCCGCCGCCCCCCTCTGTCCCCACGCCACGCCCCCCGCTGTCCCCACGCCCCGCCCCCCGCTGTCCCACCGCCCCGCCCCCCGCTGTCACCACGCCCCGCCCCCCGCTGTCACCACGCCCCGCCCCAGCTGTCCCCCCGCCCCCCCCCCTCTGTCCCCATGCCACGCCCCCGCTGTCACCCCGCCCCACCCCTCTGTCCCCACGCCACGCCCCCCGCTGTCCCCCCGCCCCCCCTCTGTCCCCACGCCACGCCCCCCGCTGTCCCCACGCCCCGCCCCCCGCTGTCCCACCGTCCCGCCCCCCGCTGTCACCACGCCCCGCCTCCCGCTGTCACCACGCCCCGCCCCCTGCTGTTCCCCCGCCCCGCCCCCCGCTGTCCCCCCGCCCCGCCCCCCGATGTCCCCCCGTCCCGCCCCCCGCTGTCCCCCCGCCCCGCCCCCCGCTGTCCCCCCGCCCCGACCCGCCCCCCGCTGTCCCCCTGTGGCTATGCTGTTCAGTTTCGCGGTGGTGGTGTCTGTGGGCGGTGGGGCTGAGACGCTGTGTGTGTCGGGCTCCCGCCCGGAGCTCGGTCACTGGGATCCCGGGAAGGCGGTGCCCATGAGCCCGGCTCACAGCCCCCAGGGTCAGCCCCAGGGTCAGCCCCAGCCCCAGGGTCAGCCCCAGCCCCAGGGTCAGCCCCAGCTGTGGGTCACCGACATCTCACTGCAGCACAACGTCAGCGAGAGATTCTGGTTCAAATTTGCCAAGAACATCAATGGGCAGATCATCTGGGAAGGTACATGGCACCGGGGGTGGGTAGGGGGTGGGTAGAGGGGGTAGAAGGACTGGATAGATGGGGTGGAGGTTGGGTAGTGGGTGGAGGGGGTGGGTAGGGGTAGGGGGTAGAGGGGGTGGGTAGGGGGTAGAGGGGATGCGTAGGTGTAGAGGGTGGAGGGTGTGGGTAGAGGGTAGAGGGGGTGGGTAGAGGGTAGAGGGGGTGGGTAGGGGGTGGGCAGAGGGTGGTGGGGTGGGTAGAGGGTAGAGGGGGTGGGTAGAGGGTAGAGGGGGTGGGTAGGGGGTGGGCAGAGGGTGGTGCGGGTGGGTAGGGGGGTTGGTGAACTGGTAGCAAGTAACAAATCATTATTTACTAAGGGAAAGCTTAGTTGTTTTTTGCTCATCGGGTTTCCCGCTGACATGTTGGCAGTCAGTCCCGGTTAATTTTAGCTCCACGCTCTGTAATCTGATCAGCGAGTGACTGACAGCAGTAACCGCACCGGTTGTGAGTGTCACGAGGCCCAAGAAATGAGGAATAAGAGAACCAAGAGTTTGCTCCACGGAGAGAGATGGATCAACACCGACTTGGAGGGGAACAGAGGGCTGTAATGGAGGGGAACAGAGGGCTGTAGTGGAGGGGAACAGAGGGCTGTAGGAGAGGGGAAAGTCCCAAATAAGAGTTTTGTTGTCATTGTTTGGAAATGGTCCTTTGCATGACCGCTGCTGTGAATTTACCGACAGTAACGTGGTGGATGGGGGGATTTGTGGAGTGAACCAGAGGGAGAGAGCGAAAAAACAACACTCTGTTTATTGTGTGCTTTGCAGATGCAATAATTATATACAAACCCGTGGTCACGTTGTGCTTGACAGATTTTCTTACACGCATCCACTTCGGTAACGGTAATTTTTCATCCTGCGGGCACACAATAAAAAGAATGCTCAAAATACTTTTCTGGTCAGGAAGGGCACTGAGCATTTTATTTGCATTTTATTTGATTGAACTATTATCCTAACATCGTGCTATGTGTCGTAAAAATCCCTTCGACCGCTGAGCCACATGACTGTGAGGCTGAGAGAACAAAACGTCAACGCACATTACAGCAATTTCGTTAACTTCTGGACTACTTATTTTTATTGTTGTTGTATTAGACGCTTTTCACTAAAACATTAATAAATACTAATCAAAATATCTTTAAAGCTCTCTACCAAGATTTTACTGTCAAGTAGGTCTTTGCGAAAGGTAGCTGTAGAAACTTAATGTTGATGTTTTTCTAACCGGAGCAAAATTTATCAAATAATAATACAATCGATTACTATGTCCCGTACGAAACTCCGCTCCCCGATCACCCCAGTCCTTGCCAGACTATCCCAGAGAGGATCGACTTCAAGGTCCTCACACTTGTATTCAAGTCCCTACACTACTCTGAACGCCCCCTACCTCTCTGACCTCCGCTCTCCTCAAAACAGTACCCGTTGCCTTCGCTCCACGGGGTCAGGTTTCCTCCTCGTCCCCCGAGATCTCCTGTCACTGCACATAGTGACCGCCGCCTCCTGCTAAATAGTGACCCACGGCTCCTGTCACACAGTGACATCCGGTTCCTGTCATATAGTGACCCCCGGCTCTTGCAACAGAGCAAACCCGGCGCCTGGGCGCCTGCCACATAGTTACCACCGGTTCCTGCCACACAGTGCTCCCATAAGTTGTCACTTATAACCCAAAGTTCGTCTATCTGCATATCGTGAACCACGGCTCCTGCCACTAAGTCACCCCGGCGCCTGCCACATAGTGAGCGAGACAGAGAGAGTGAGGGGGAGAAAGAGAGAGAGTGAGAGATAGAGAGAGAGAGAGAGAGTGCTCCCATAAGTTGTCATTTATAACCCAAAGTTTGTCTCCTCGTCCTCCTCGACCTATCGGCAGCATTCGATACGGTCGACCACGCTATCCTACTCCAACGCTTGTCCTCCCACCTCAACCTTCAAGGCACTGTCCTTGAATGGTTTAGGTCGTACCTTTCTCACCGTCTTCATTTCGCCTCGACGAATGGCTTCTCCTGCACCCCCCGTACTGTCTCATGTGGTGTCCGTCAGGGCTCTGTCCTTGGTCCCCTCCTTTTCACCCTCTATATGCTCCCCCTTGGTGACATCATCCGCAGACATGGAGTTAACTTCCACATGTATGCGGACGACACCCAACTCTACCTTTCCTCCTCTACTCTCAACTCCACGACCACCGACGTCCTGACAGCCTGCCTGTCCGACATCGAGACCTGGACGAGAGACAACTTTCTTCAGCTCAACGTGCGAAAAACCGAGGCCCTCCTGATTGGCTCACGTCAGCGCCTCCGCACCTCAGGCGCCGACACCTTCAGCATCCAAGGCTGCACTCTCCACCTCTCAAAGCCAGTCAGGAACCTCGGCGTTTTGTTCGACCCTGAGCTGTCCTTTCTCCCTCACATCCGCACCACAACTGGCATCGCCTTCCATCACCTCCGGAACATCGCCAGACTACGGCATTACCTCACCCCTCACGCTGCTGAAAACCTGTTTCACGCCTTTGTCACCTCAAGGCTGGACTACGGGAACTCTCTCCTCGCCGGCCTTCCCGCCACCTCCCTCCACAAGCTGCAGGTCATTCAGAACTCTGCAGCTCGTGTACTGCCCGCACCAGGCTTCGGGACCACATCACTCCCACCCTCGCTCGCCTCCACTGGCTCCCCATCCCCCAGAGGATTGATTTCAAGATCCTCATCCTCACCTACAAGGCCATTCACGGCCTTGCTCCCTCCTACCTCTCCAACCTACTATCCCCCTACCTACCTGCCCGTACCCTCCGTTTCTCCGGCTCCGGTCTGCTCCACGTCCCCCGCCCCAACCGCCCTACCATCGGTGGTCGGGCCTTCAGCCTCTCAGCCCCCAGGCTCTGGAACTCCATCCCCCAGTGCCTTCGCCTTGCTTCCTCCCTTTCCTCCTTCAAGGCCGGTCTCAAAACCTTTCTCTTTGACCTTCAGCCTTCAGCTCCCCTCTCGACTCTCTTCCCCCTTCTCGCTCCCTCCCTTCCCTCCCCTCACCCTGACCATTTCCCCCTCCTCGCTCCCTCCCTTCCCTCCCCTCACCCTGACCATTTCCCCCCTGCTCGGTTCATGACCCAACTGTGCAGCGCCTTGGGACGTCCTCCTGACGTGAAAGGCGCTCTATAAATGGAATCTTGTTGTTGTTGTTGTTGTGTTGTACATTGTTTCTAAATCTTTCTAAATCGTTGTCAACCCTTTATCACAGCGTTCCCACTTCTGATGCTACTTTGGTTGACTTAAGTAGCTGCATTCTCCAATCATTTTGCTCATCTGCACATGAAAGTATAGGTCACTGTCTTTCAAAATACACGCCTCAAACACTTGTTTTTACCAGTACCGTGATATGTCATTTTGTAAAATGACTTCTAAAAGTCTTTGTAAAATGATCTTATAGAAACATATCAGATTATTTTGGGGCTTCACAGAGTAGACCGTGTGAGACTCTTTACCCTGGGGTCACAAGCTTAAGATTAAGTGTCAGTCTTTTCGAATAGAGTTGAGGAAACACTTCTTCACTCAGAGAGTAGGACTTTATGGAATTATTGACGCCAGAAGGCTATAGATGCTCAGTCATTGAACATATTCAAGACTTAGATTGATATATTTCTTAAGGATAGAAAGATTAAGGAATATGGGGACAAGGCGTGGAGATGGAGTTAGGTTAGAAGATCAGTCATGACGCATGTTGAATGGCGAGACGGGCTCGAGGGGTTGAGTGGCATACTCCTTCTCCTGCTCCTCATACCTAATTTCCTATTTTCTGCCACCCAATGCAGTAACCTATTGAATATTGCAAATTAAAGAGATCAAATAGACGTACCTGGAATTCCAAATGCTACAAGAATGGGGTAGTAGATTCCTATTATAATATACATCGTTGAAAGTTCCATGCTCTGTTTTACATATTGCTGCTGAAAGCAGAGGATGCACTGAACACACTGAGATCGCACCGCAAGAAATGTGTACTTATATCGAGAATGAATCTACCGCTTGCATCATGAATGCAATTA